CGTCAGTCAACTAAACCCTCACCCGGTGCTAGTTGGCTTATTTTGCAACACAGTCAAAATTTGCTTGAAACTTTTTTCTGCAGAGATTTCTAATAAATTAAAAATGTATGTACAATACGTGAAGGTGTATATAACCAGCTGTCATACTTGAATTTAACAGTACGCAAAAAAATAAATCAGTAAAAATTAATTAATAAAAAAATAAGTCAACAAACCCCGGTCTCCCTAATAAATAAATTGTTTACGATTACATAAATATCTAATTTCAAGTATATATTATACACGTTTTCCCAAAATCTAAGTTTCAGAAGAAGATTCAATTTCTGAGAATTTCGTAATAGTAGAGTAAATAGACTGACAAAAGGCTTCTAGAATAGATTTTGGTGGGCACTTTGTTGCTAAAATGTAAAACCTATTTTTTTTCGTTTCTAATATCTTTCTAATGCAAAATCACTTGGTCGTCCAAAAATCGTAGCGGGAGGGGAGTGGTGGGGAGCCTTACAAAAAAAAAGTGCTAATTTTTTTTCGTTATTTTTCGGATCTACGATAACCGAAAATTCATTCCTCAAATTTTCATGTTGATCTGGACATTAGAAATATTTTTATTTTATTTATAAAAATACGTCAAACCATTGTTGTATACGGAGCGCCTTCATACAAAATCACTTGTTCTGAAAACCCATATTTTTAAAATCTTTTACCTCGCTCTACCTCGAAAAATATTGGGTTTAGCAAAAAATTACTTTCTATAAACATTATAGAGCAAAAATCAGAGAACACGTGGGTTTTTTTTAAATGTCGATTGGATACTTAGTTTAAGAAAGAATTAAATAAATCGAACGGCATGTCACGTCGGACAGTGCTGAACGCAGAGATGCGAGGAAGGGCGAGATTTCTAATCTGAAGTCAAAGCAAATCGACTCTAGTGATGGCGATGTTGTTAGGGTCGATTTTACATTGCAACGCTGTTGTGTTGGATATTCTATTGCGAAAGTGCATCATTGTGCATTATTTTTTACTAATAGCGCGAAATTCACTGAGCTGAGATTTTTAATATTAAAAGTTTTAAATTATTAAAAGTTATTAATTAGCTTATTGCTATAATAAAAATATTAAATATATACTTAATATTAAAGTAAATATTTTTTTCATCTAGAAACGGATTTAACGAAAAGCAGCAGGTCTGACAGTGAACTTGAGTCAAAAATCAGATTAAGGCATGTTTTTTTTCATAAAGTCCATTTCCTTTTCAGTTTGTTAAAGGACGCGGAAACTGGAGAATACATTCTTGTTCTAGTTTTCGAAAAATGCATCCTTACTTCTTTGCATTTGGCCATGTGAACTATTCTTTTTGGGGAACATTATATTTGTTGGACATGTACAAATTTGCTAATAAGTATCCAGAATTTCATGAAGACTTTATTAGAGGAAATTTTGTTGTGAAAAGTTTGAACAGAAACTTTTACCAACTATTTGTAGATATAGCTTTAAACACATAAATACAAACTCAAAAGATGCAGGAGGAATCGTGTGATTTACTAAAACCAGCACAAAACTAGACGAATGGTTTTTAAGCTACAATATGATTTTCATGATGGTAGATGAATTTCGCGCATCATGAGACCTAAGCAACCACTCAAGTCAAAACGTAGAAAGTAGAAAAAAAAACGGATAAAAATTGATGAGTATTCTGTACAAAAACTACATGATCAGTTTTTACGATTTAATGTATTTTTAAAAAGCGTAGATCGTCTTCTCGTAATTTCAGCTAATGAGATTGCATCACCAAATGTTCAAACATCCTTACTAAATATACAAAAAAAAATGAAAAAGAGAGCCTAGCAAAATTTATTGTTACTGTTGGAACTCCCAATTTTTATCAGCATAGAAAAGAGAATAATCTTCCAACACTTCGTCGCGCAGATACCTATAAAACTGTCTCTGAAAAGAAGAAAATTATTCAAGCTGAGCAAGAATTTTTACAAAAAATACTAGCAACCAAGGCAATTGAAAGAAACATAAATATTATGAGGATATTTTCAAATAGGAATTGACAGCATATCCAATGTCACTTGTACCAGCAGGAGTTTTATCGATACCATAAAATAAATCTGCCTTAGGTTCTATAATAGAACAGTTTACAGTTGTTACAAAATCACAAAACATGTCACATTTTTGATGGTATGAGATTGATTCAAGCCGTTGGCAAACCATTAAATGCCAAAGCATTTGACGACTATGCAAGAATTTTGAAATCAATAGTGTTCAAGAACCCCTACAGCGTTAAAAGGATCGATTTTGTTTTGGATCACTACAAGGAATCTTCCATTAAAAACTGCACGAGACAAAAGAGAAGCGCCAAAATTGAATCAATACAACGGTTAATTGAAGGTCCGGTTACAGTATTACCTCAAAAATGGAATTCATTTATTAATTGAGTTTTTAATAAAAACCAGCTTACACACTTCGTAAGCAATCAGCTAGTTAAATATTCCTTAACAAATTGTACCGCTCACTTCGTATCCAGCAGAGGATTTTGCGACGTTTTACATTACAAAACAAATTTTGGTTTGAATTCTAAAATATTAATCTCATCACATAAAGAGGCCGATACCAGAATTATATTACAAATTCTGTCAGCAAAAATGGAGGGATATACAAAATGTATAGTCGACTGTAAAGTTACCGATGTGCCCATTTTAAAGACCTTTCAACTCCAGAAGTTTAGATGAGGGTTGGAACAAAGGACAACGAAAGATTTATAGGTATTCACGAACTCTCTATGGATTACTCCCTAAGGAAATGTTGACCTGCCTTTCATATTGGAAGGTATTTCTATTAAATTATAGTCTCCTATCTAGAGTGGGAAGTGAAGAATATTTGAGCAAAGATGTTTTCGATGATATGATATTGTTAAATCTGTTATTCTTCTTTATACACCTAACGACAATATTAAGTGTACTAATACTCTAAGAGGTATTTTGACCACTACGAAACCTATTCATAACTGCCTCCTACTTTAGACAGTCTGAGGCAACACTGCCTTTGTATACACTTCCAGACGAAAATATGGCTATGTAGTGCGACACCAAGACCATGTCTGCCAAATCCGTTGCTAAGTGGCTGGAGTAAACAAAATGGAGAGCTGGTACCAGTTTTAAGCACGGAACCCATCTTGACGAAAGATACATATATTCTGAATAGTTGTAAATGTAAAAAAGGTGAGTCAACTTTTGCCTTTTTATGTGAAGAATAATAATATTAGCTTTTTTTATAATTTTCAGACTGTACAGGGCCCCAATGCTCGTGTAAAAGCAAACAGATCAAATGCATCGGTTCTTGTAAATGTGTGGCGCAGGCGAAATGTGACAATAAAGGTAATATAAGTGAAACAATTATAACCGTAGAAGATGTTAGTTCTTCTGAGAATACTGAAGAGTCTGACTTAGAATAAGATAACTAACATAAGATATCTAGTGAGTAAGAAATAGGTAAGTACATAGATTTAATTGTTTTTATTACTATCCTTTGTTCTTGAATCAGAAATGTATTGCCAAGGAAAACCGATGCCATTTTAGATGTGTACATTTCAAGCTTTTGAACTTTAACCACTTTAGTAAGTCCTTAGTAAGCTTTATAATAATAACAATAATCTGTACGAACATTTTTGGGGATACGGGATACCTCTACATAACATACTAAGTCACCTAGGGCTCGATAACACAGAAAGAGTCCCACTAGAGCTCAATCCTTTTGATATCGTAAGTATCTGAGATAAGTGAATTTTCCCCTTTGAGGGAGTGCAAGCCGTATGGCTAAATGTGGATAATATTAATAATTTAATAATAGTAATAATAAGTATCCAACCTTAAAGATATACAACAATACCTATTACGATAACATAAATACTACTATATATTTTATCACTTAACACATACAGTATTCTAAAAGTGTTCTGACAACAAAACGAGCCAAAGAAGTCACTATTTACTCTAGCAGTACCTATTCATCCTCATAATCAGCAACACAATGAAAAAACGACCATAACAACATCGTCATCAATAGAGTCGATTTGCAGTTGACTTTGGCACAGGAATCTCGCCCTTCCTCGCATCTCTGCGTTCAGCACTGTCAGTCGTGACATGCCGTTCGATTTATTTAATTTTTTCTTAAACTAATTATCCAATCGAAATTCTAAAAAAACCCACGTGTTCTCTGATTTTTGGTCTATAATGTTTATAGAAAGTAATTTTTTGCTAAACCCAATATTTTTCGAGGTAGAGCGAGGTAAAAGATTTTAAAAATACGGGTTTTTAGAACAAGTGATTTTGTATGAAGGCGCTCCGTATACAACAATGGTTTGACGTATTTTTATAAATAAAATAAAAATATTTCTAATGTCCAGATGGGTATGCAAATTTGATGAATGAATGTTCGGATATTGTACATCCGAAAAACGATGAAAAAAAATAATTGCATTTTTTTTTGTAAGGCTCCCCACCACCCCCCTCCCACTACCATTTTTGGACGACCAAGTGATTTTGCCTTACAAAGATATTAAAAACCAAAAAAAATGGGTTTTACATTTTAGCAATAAAGTTCCCACGGGATAACACAATAGGATCCTGTTTAAACTATACTATAATGAGCGGGAGCCAGTTCATGTATGGGTTTGGGAGCCAATTTCCGTAGGATTAAAGTGGTTTTGTAGAGCTCTTTTATAAAACCTAAGAAAGTGGTTCAATACCTCTACAACCGGACTATTCCGAATGGCTGCAACTAAAGTTATGATAGCTATGCTGATCGCCAACATCTGAAACGGATAGGCACCGTAAGAAGAAGAATATAGCTCGGATGCCAGTTGAGGTGCGCCGAACGTTTGACTTATATATATCTACCTAATCTATGGTTTGACGTTAGTTTATCTTTATTGTCGTTTGTAATCGTAGATAATGGTCGCTATAGATGTCATTACAAAATTTCAAATAATTTTTACTTACTTTTGTCAATTCGGGTAAATTTTGAGAGTATTTTCTTAAACCTGGCTTCGGCAGAAATATTACACGTTTTAAAAAGACTGACATTTTCACCTTAAGATCTACAAATACTGAATACAAATAATTAGAATATATTCTTAACAATGCTATATACAATTCTGAAATGTTTTGATATCATTGATAAGGATAATTATTAACCATATTTTTACAAAGGTCAAATACGGGGGGACAATGATATTTCACGAACTAGATAATTTTAAATATATAGTTTTTTATTTAATCACAAAAATACATCAACAGCGCAGAGTTACTAGTGTCTTCTTCTTCTTTCTTCTTTTATGTAGGCTTTAAAGCCTGTTTCTCCTTTAATATTAGCCTCCTGAATTGTTTAAATTGTCGCACCATCTTTTTCTTGGTCTGCCAATACTTCTTCGTCCATTTAGTGACTTATCTCGTGCTATTTGTACTATTATATCCTCTGCCATTTTACTGATGTCTTATACTGATGTCTCACTTACCAACCACATGGAGACCTCTCATAAAGAAAATATGGTTTGTTCCACCTTCCAATCAAAATTCTGCCGCCAGAAATTGCCGCCAACCCTCACCCAAACCAAGTCATCATCCACGATATAAATGACTTGTCCTCTGTCTCCAGTCTCCAGTTGCACTACACTAGTTCTAAGGTTGATCGCAGACGTACAAACGGCTTGCAGGTACAATGGTCACTAAAGAACACTCACAATAGCATGACAGTGAAAGGGGTCTTCTTTCTGCTACTGAAGCATCCTCGTCGTTGGGACCCCCCGCCGACAACAGAGCCTCGTTACTCAACACGGGATCTGGGGTCGGACGGGGGAATCTAAGTAACTTATGGAGTCAAGTAACATCGAAATAGTAGCGTCCATCACTGTCAGGCTAATACACACACACACACACACTCCCACTGGGCTATCCGCGACAAGCCTCCTCTCGAAAGCTGACGAGGCCGGAACAATAGCAACTAGAGACACGACTCTGTTGCACTTAGCCCAAAAATACACACATTCTTTCTGGAAAGATCACATATTTAGACAAACCTCTCGCCTCTGATTCGAATAGTGACTCCATCTCAATAGCCTCCAAGATGCTCCATCAGAAGAATACCGCTGCCCCAGTTGGTTTTTCGGTCTGTCTTGCTTTCGTCCAACACAAACACATTCAACTCCAGCCTAGCCTAAAGAGGATCCAACGGTCCTAAACGGGTACTCTCATGTTCATTCCTTTTCGAAATAAAGCTCTCCGTAACCTTATCCCTCAAAATGGACATTGAAGTAGTAGTGCCCAGTTGCCGTAGTGCAGTGATTTGTGATCAGTGTAGTAGTATCTGGAGGCCAGGAGATTGATTCTTCTTTATTGTTGATTACCATCAGAAATTTATTCAATGCTTTTCGTCCGTGAGGCTAAATAGAGAACACATCATCTACATATCTCCCTCAAACTGTAGGTTTGTCTTGTTCGTGAACAATCTTTCATGAATATATCTGCTAATAACGGAGATAAAGATGAGCCCATAGCTAATCCGAAATTTATCATCCATTTATTATAAGATATATCAATGTCGCTAGAAATCATGATGAAGGTGTTGCAACATCTGTCATCGTGACACTAGATTATGCAATAGATCAGTATAATCTGAAACTTAAATTGCAGCTAACGATTTTGTAGTCAATAATGCCTTGGGGTGAGGGTTTGTATATCGTTACTTCTTAGTGAAACTAAGGTGCGAGAATTTAATATAGATTAAACTAACATAAGTATAGGGTAAAACTCCTTACATGTTAGGAGCGCTACCACGTGTTTTAAATGGGATTTTCACTTCTACCTCTACGAGACGACCAGGATCAACTCTTTACTCTTCATATGCTTTGTGGACTTTAACAGAGCCTTCGACATGCTCACATATATGGCAATATCGAAAGCACTGCAGCAAGAAATAGGAATACCATTAAAGAACTCTACAGTAATACAGAAAGCACAGTCCTACACAACGGCATAACATCTAACCCAATAGATGAGCTGAATGACGTGTGTATGACGTGTACGACGCGATGTGGTCTCCATCATAAAACCAAATGTTTTGTCTAATTTTTAAGGTTGCAATATTGTCTACAAAATAATCTGTTTCATTTCATTAAATTAATAAGTTCGCAACAGGCACCCAAAAAGTTGGTTTCATAAAAAAGTCACTAAACAAATGCAAATACAAATAAACAATGTAAAACTCTACCTCGCCTAGCAACAAACCTCTGCTGAGCAGCTAAAAGATGTCAGACGACAACTCACTTGCAAGTTCCAGGTGTATCGCTAGACATAGCAATGGCGACTCGTAACACATCGATGCTGACTCATAACAATACTGATAGGTCCTGTGAAATCATCTGAAGAGCGGGAAAATGGTTAAATTTGCGAAATTCTGGAAGGGGACAAGTTATCCACGGGAGGTTAGAAATAGGGTAAATATATTTTGAAATTACGGAATTCATATCTCGTTTAGCAAAAAAAATCCTAAATTTTGAATAAATAAAAATACGTGCTTTTTGCACGTAAAAAGTTGTGTGGAAGACTGATTCATGAAAATGGCAGATTATCTTCTTCTTATTGATTATCATCTCCTTAGGTCTTTCTTGTTGTTTACTTATGCGTCGAAGTTGGTAACGTTGGTAACTTTTGTACCTATGGAATTCTCAGGATCCGTCTATATATGCAAATCTCAAAAGCAACTTTTCTTTTTGTTTTGGAGTACATTCTCCAACTTTTACAGCCAAAGAGCAAAACAGAGAAAACGTAACATCTGATCATTCGGATTCTGAGCCCTGTACTGGTTTGATCCTGTAAAATATGTTGTCAGTAGTCAGATTATGGTATAGTTAAATCACAAATGCAGATAGAATATAACCTCAAACTCTTGTTCCTTGGATGACTAACCCAAGGATAAATCGTTTCAAATTCGAGACGTATGAAACTAGTCTAGACTAGAAATTTATATTAGAAGGAGTGTGAGTAAAATTTGTTTGAATAATTATTCTTATCTCATATGATCTATGTTTACTGAAATTTTACTGGCATACAAATATTTTTAATATAAATAAAAATAAATACACCTAATCAAACCTAGCAAAATGTCAAACGTTAAAAATGTTATGTAAATTAGATGTAATTCATGTTTTCGAAAAAAAATTTTAGTAATATTTAGATAATACTTGCTGCTTTTAAATGCAGAATGATATACATTGTTATCAAGTATTTTTAAAATGGTAAGATCAATAATATAAATCTTATTTACATAATAAATGTCTGGGAAAATATTTTAGTCTCATGCATTTTGTAAATTAAAGTGTGTAAATTAAAGTGAAAGTTTTATAATGTATTTTAATGAGTTTTGTACATAATAATGTTTTACTTTTACTTGTAAATACTACTACCGATTATTGGTAATGACTTAACCTATGTCTATGTGTACTTTGGTTCGTTTACGAGGGCAAGATGAAAATTTTTTGATCGAAATAAATTTTAGAAATAAAAAATGCTGTTTATTTCAAAAATGCATTGATTTCTATGTATGGTTTCTCTTTAATTTGGGACACTTTATTTCTCTCATACCTCTTCTGAACCTTTATATATATATATATATATATATATATATATATATATATATATATATATATATATATATATACATATATATATATATATATATATATATATATCTATATATATATATATATACATATATATATATATATATATATATATATATATATATATATATATATATATATATATATGTAACATTATAATTTTGAAATATGATAAAACAATAATTAAATTAATTTTCTATTTGAGTTCAAAAATACCTTTATCTTCAATACTGTTCAATAAGAAGAGGAGTAAAAAGAATTAATAAAAAAAACTCAATTTTGTGCAATACAATTAAAATATAATAGTAAAATAAACCCTTTAAAACTGTTTATACAACTAATGAAGTCCCTTAGAAATAAATGCTCCCCAAATCATATAGCATTCACATATAAATTACAATAGGAAAATTAGTCCAATCTATTGTCTCTTCTCAATAAAATTTTCTCTGCACTTTATGAAAATGATTTACTTTAATTAACTCTCTATCGAAAAACTCCTTCTCTGGTTCTGCTTATAAAGAGTCCTGTCGATCAAAATAACGTCCTGACTCACGTTTCTATCTCCATGCCCCTATCTGCTTAATTGGGATTGCCCGTATCTGCTTAACTACGAATCTCTCCGGGAATAATGTGTTCATCATCATCATCACCCAGCCCTTTGCTTCCACTGCTGGACATATGCCTCCCTCATGTTTGTCCATTGTGCTCTGTCTTGAGCACTTTTCATCCAATTTCTTGACATGTTCTTGAGATCGTCAGTCCATCGTGTAAGGGGTCTTCCTTTACTTCTTTTGTCTAATCTCGGCCTTCACTTAAGCAATCTCTTCGTCCGCCTTTCATTACTGATTCGAGCGACGTGTCCGGCACAGTTCCATTTTAGTGTGGCGATTCGGGAAATTACATCGGTAACTCCTGTTCTTCTTCTTAAGTCTTCATTTCTAACTTGGTCACGAAGCGATATACTCAGTATTGATCTTTCCATTTTCCTCTGAGCTATTTGCAGCGTTTTAGAACTTGTAGCTGTCAATGTCAAAGTTTCGGCACCATAGGTCATCATAGGCAACACACATTGGTCAAATGTTTTACGTTTTGAAGATGTCTTTGAGTTTTCCATAGGCTGCCCATGCTAGGTTTATTCTTCTTCGTAGTTCGCATGTTTGGTTGTCTCTTGTGATCTTTATTTCGTGTTCAATATATATGTATCTTTCCACCAGCTCTACTTCGTTGTCTCCAATATTGATATTTCCGCTATGTACTAGGTTTGTCATGAATTTTGTTTTGGAGATGTTTATTTTAAGACCCACACTGGCACACACTAACTGAAGTTCATGTAGCATTGTACATATCTCTTTGAGGTTATCCGAGAACAAAACTATATCGTCTGTGAATTTTAATAATGTGTTGCTACTTACAAATTCTGCACCCT